AACCGCATAAACACATTTCATTACACCAAATACACAAAATAATGTTCTTTTTAGCAACATCATGACCCCTTTAAATAGAGAATTAAATACATTATACTTTATATGTAATTTTATTACATTAATATATTATCTGCAAGTACAATTATAATATATAATATCTGCAGGTACACTACAAGTGCACATTCAGTACAATTAAATGCACTTCTTTTTCTCGAGGGTAGTCAGTAGAGGAATAAACCTTTTGCTCAGAGAATGGTGTAGTTACAGTATTTACCAACAGGGGCTAACTGATAAAGCTAACTAACTAAACCTTCACTTTCTGTACTTGACAACAAGACTTAATGTCTTATGCATATTTTACGTTCATATAAACTGTTATTCGACTCACTGGGTAGCTGCCTCGCAGCAAAAAAGTCCCTGGTTTGAGTCCCGGCTGAGCCAGTGGGGTTTGCATGTTCTCCTCATGTCTGTGTAGGTTTCCTCCAGGTGCTCCCATTTCCCCCATAATCCCAAGACATGCAGCATTGGTGAATTGGACACTATAAATTGCCCGTAGGTACGAGTGAGTGTGTGAATGTGTGTGTCTGTGTGTGAGCCCTGTCGTTCAGGGTGTCCCCCTCCTGTGACCCAAAACACTGGGATAAAGTTCCATCCCCCCGCGACCCTGCAGAGGAAAAAGTGCTGTGGAAAATGGATGGATGGAAACTGTGATTTTAGATAATGATTTAACATCTCTGTTTTTCTCTCAGAAAAGAGTGGAGGTGCATGACCATCTCAATGGCTCGCGGATCATTTTCTCGGATGAGGCTCTTCCCGGCAGTGGATCAAGACAGCACTTCATGGCTCCGAATATGACCCAGGAAGTAGTCGTAATCTCTCCTGGTCTTCCTACACCTCCCTCAAGTCCGTTCCACAACAGTTCAGCCCCTGCATCGTCACAGCACAAGGCAAGAGTACAGCTGTAACACATTACTGCTGCAGACATTATTCCACATGTGTGTTGAGAACTTTATTATACATATGCACTGGGATCCAAAGATCTAAAACCACATAAAAAATCTAGGATTCCAAATCTAAATTAAACCTGGAATTAATCTGATAGTTTTAAGATTTAAAAAATGAAGACAATGTTTAAGAAATATGTCAGATTCTGCAGCTTTCTAGGTCACTAAATTTAAATGTAAATATTTAATTAAATAATTAAAATATAAATAATAATAAAAAAAAATCATTAAAACATTAAAAGGGACATAACTAAACACTCATACTTTCTTATGTGTATGTATACATTTTTGTTTCAACTCTATTTAGTTCAATTCAACTCTAAACTAAACTTTTCCACATTATGCTTTGGTTGAGTAGCACTGACACAGTGTTGTTTTTAACTTGAATTAAAACTTAAAAAAATAAAATAAAGCTTAAATAAAGCTTAAATAAAATAAAATAAAATAAATACAATAGAAATTGTAGATGAAAAACTTGAACTTAAAAAACTTAAATGAAAATAGAAATGTTGCTTTGGCAACTAACTGAAATAAAATAAGCAGAAATACTAAAATATAACTAAAACTGAAATAAGAATAAAAATATATTTTTTATTTATATTTGTTATTTATAATAACAATAAAATAAACGAAAGCACATAACAAAATTGTTAAAAATTAAACAAATTGACATTGAAAATATGAAAACTGAACATATTAAATTAAAAACTAATTCAAAATATTAATATATAATAGTAAATAATCCTAAAATAACGCTGACATTATTACACACTGACTTGGATTGAATGTGTGCAGCTGCATAATTTATATTTTTCTGCCCCCTGTTGGCGTTAATTAAAAAGGGACTCTTAGAATACAGTGTGTTAATCCTGTTTACAGTAACTTGAAATACATTTTATTATTATTATTTATTATATAGTGTCCCCAAACGAAGTATTTGGACACTTAAACCACACTTTAAATGCGTTTGCACCAGATAACAAACTATCACTCCAAGTGCCATGTTTTTGGGTCACTTTTTGCAAAGTATAACTGATGTTATATATGTGTAATATATACCTAACATTTCCTATTTGCCTGTATTCTCTTTAATTCACTATTAAAGTGTGATTGTCATATACTGTATCTCTGACTATGCACTAATGTTTCCAGCAGGTCGCTGAGGTCAACGGAGGTGGATTCACAACACACAGTTTCGGATCCTACTATGGGCTGACTCAGACAAATGGTAACAAAACATTTGATTAGTTTTGGCAGTTTTTGACTAAATTATAAGAATTCCTATGTGTATCTTATCTGTGATTATAAGTATATGTAACTATAGGTTTCTGTGCTTGGATGGGAAGAAATTGGAACATTTGAAATTAGAATTGAAAATATTGTATGTTCATATATTATATTAATATTTTGTGCAATTCCATATGTGTTAAGTTGTCATCTCTCTGTCTTTCAGTTGAATTATCCGATGGTGGGATATGGACCGGAGGTTCTGCCACTTTACCCAGGATGTCTGGCACCCGAGAGGAGCGCTTAATCAAGTTCTCTGGAATAGGTCCTGTAGATGAGACAGGCATGCCAATCGCATCCCGATCTGTGAGTCTCACTGAACCACTGCAGTCCCAGAATGCATTCGTGTCATGCCTTCAGTCAGTTTGATATTACAAGAAAATCCATGGCTATTGTTTCTGTTATCTGTAAATTAGCCATGAATACACAGTGTGCTATAAATTCTCTAAAAATTAAACCATAAAAAAACATTTTCGTTATTTGAAATAAAATAAACATGAACTGAAATAATATTATATAGTAAAAAAATTAAATGTATTTTATTTCAGCTAGAAAAGAAATTCAAGGCAACATTTCTTGTTCTTATTTAACGTTATATATTAAAATACTTAAATTTAAAACAAAAAATATTAAAATATAAAAAAATACAGGAATAAAATTGAATAAATACTATATAGACATAAAAAATAAAACTAATAATATATATATA